GTTGTCTTCTCTCAACCAGTGATCACTAGTCGGTTTGGTTCAGAGATAAAAGACATCAACAAAGTGAATTTGAACTTTCGTATTTTATTTACATTGATGTATACATCTTCTAACTAGCCAGTGGTTGTCGCTCTCCCTCTCCACTGGTGAGCAGTTTCCAGACATAAAGAGGAAACGCATCTACAATTTACTTGATGTTTAAAACTCAACTCTCCGAAAAACCTTTTGCTATCTATCATTCCCACGCTAGTTCAGCCAATCAAAATCAACTTCCTTTGTTTTGTCCTGTATCTGACTTCAAAGTTCAAACTGAGGAAGTCAGAACAGAAAAACACTATTATTTAACATTCCTATTTAGATTAAATTAGGTGTTTGTGAAACTATTTGTGGAGGTAATGACTTGTTAAAGAAAGGAGTAAATTTAATTAAAAAAAATGTTACATTATTAATAAAAGATAATTTACTTTTATTTAAAATTATAAAATTAAAATATTTTACAATTTTCTTTCTGATATTGTATATTCTCAACTTATTATTTCACATTGCAGTTAATTCAATATTTGGTCATGTTAATATTTTGAATTTTCACTTTAGATATGCTGTAGGTGAATTTAATTCAAAAATTATTATTTATATCTGTCTATACTTTTGTAAGATTATTAATCAAACAGGACTTACACAGATTTATTAAATAAGTATTTTGGTAAAAATTCTTTTTTTTTTTTTTTAAATAAATGCAAATATCTAAACCAAAACTATGAATCTCTCTTTGCAAAATGAATTTAGGAATGCTCATTTCTTAAAGTCAATGTGTTTTGTTTAAATAAAGTTTTAAAGTTTTAAAAGTTCATTATAAGAGTACTTTATTTAAAAATGCTTTCTTTTTAATGGTTTTTAAGAAAATATATATACAGAAATTTTGTAAATATAATTAACAATAAGTTAACATGTAAAAGCTTTCAAAATTACCCTTGCAGAAATTGGCTTGGCTTGGGTTTATTTTATTAGGATTACAAGATATTTTCAGGTTGAAGAGATTGGATAGTCTTACATGTTAAGTGCATTTTATAGTGATAAATTTTTTTTTTTTAATACAGAATGCTTCAGTAGTGTACGCTTGAGCCTTCCTCAGGTGTCTGTTGTGGAATGTTGAATGTTTTCTGCAGCCAATCTTCATATATACAAATAAAGCAACATCAAACCTGATCAGTATCTAGATGGCTTGGGGATACCAGGTGCTGTAAGCTTGGATGTGAGAGCAGTGTGACAGATAATGGCTCAGAATTGAAAATTGGAGAGCTGAGTTCCAATTTCAGTATGGTTCATTATATTCACTTACAAACAATTACCCTTGGGATAGGTATGAAACCCCTCTTCTCTCTCTAGCGATATTTTTTTTTTTGTAATCATTTCACCCCAAGCAAGGCAGTAATGCCACTAAGACACAAGGTATTACTGGAAGTGAAAGAGAATAAGAAGACTTTAGGAGAAGGAACTGGAAACCGAATCCTAAACTGGAAGCAAGAGATAAACCTTTACTTTTGTTCAAAAGATGGGGAGGGATTGTGAAAGACTTGTATCACTAAAATCATTATCTCCCCAAAATTCTTACAATCTATAAATATTTTCTGGCTTTAAATAACCTACAAAAGGGTTGATAAGCTGTAAAAAAACAAATCAATCAATCAATGTCCTGTGAGTGTCAAATTTTCTACGTTTCATTTGAATGGTGGGAGAAGTAAAAAGTAAACCAAGAAAAAGAATTGCATTGTAATAATTCATCAGGTAATGTAACAGGTCTTTCATCTATGAGAGTAGGGGACCCTTTCTCTAATCCCTGTTTAACCCTACCGCTCCCAAAAATTGAAGTCAAGTTGGTTTAGATTTTTAGGCAGTATATCTAATTATATTTCCTCTTTCTTTCCTCAGGTACTTGTATATTCTTGAATTTGGTAATGTGTCAAATTGGGGGTTTCTGCCTGTATCTATTTGGTCTCGCATCTTGCTATCCTACCATCAAGTTACACTGAAAACTTGTTCAATCACCAAAGTTAAGTGGCATCGAGACCAGTGAATACTTAAATGGGAGACTGCTTGGGAACACTGGGTACTGTTGACAACATCCTACAATCCAATATATGTTTTGGCTTTAAATAACCCACAAAGGGTTGATAAACCATAAAAAATTTTGTGTTACTATATAAAACACCAAACATGTTAGTATGTTTAATTTTTATTTGTAATGTTACCTGTATAAGGTATTTAACTAGTTATTGCTTTTTCCACTGTCAATGCTTGGTGATAGTGTCTTTAAGACAATGCTGATTTACAAAGTTAGGAAATTAAAAAAAAAATCAACTCCATGAAAGTTTTTATGGTCATTTTTTTTACACCCAAAAAATAGGGGATCACACTATATAGACAAGTACTTTTTTTTTTTTTTTTTTTTTTTTTTTTTTTTTTTTGGAAGAGGTTAAAAATCATGCATTTTTAGAGGCTGGTTGCACTATACACAGGTAAATTTTTCTGGAGAGGTTAAAATTCATGCAAAAAATTAATGCATCACACCATAGAAGAAGTTGGCTTATACATGAGTATATATGGTAATTGGTGACAGGGCAGGGGGGGTAATGTGAAAGCTTAATAATAGTAAGGACCTAACAAATGTAGTTTAAATTAAGTAATATTCTTTGTTCTTATAGTCTTTGTTTTGACTTCCTCATCTCTTTTCTCCTCTTCCACTCTTCTTTGACTTTCTCAGCAAGCAACCAACTTGCAAAAATCCTGAGTGGAGTTAAAGCTGAGTGACAAAGCTTCTCCAGGCAACAAACAAACAAAAAAACAACACATAAGGAGAAAGTCTTAGCTTTTATAGGGCTCTAATTGGGGATTTTATTCCAGTCAACGCAGTCCCTAACTGGTTGACTGAAGGTTGTGAGCTCAATCCCTGTGCTGGGCAGTACATTTTATTTTTATTTTCAACCACACAAAATCTGCCATCATTTTTTACAATATGGATGACCTAGGTAATGATAATATTGGAGCTTCTTTTGTCTAATATAAATTTTATGCCTTATCTTCAGAAAAAATTATAAAGATAAAGTATTTAACAAAAAAACAAGAAAAATAATATTCAAAATCTTACATCTATATCTATAATTCTCAAAATGTGTGAGTGTGTGTGTGTGTGTGTGTGTGTGATCAGATGTTGTTTATGCATTTCCAGTTTCCATCCAATTTCAATGAAAATTTTTTGGTTTCATAGATAATTCTTCAGTGCTGGTTTTGAGTCCAAATTGGCTGTAAAAAATTACAATCTTGAAGTTGAAAAATAAAAAAACTGATTATTTTTTTTACACTTTGCGCAATAATCAAAAGCAAAATTTAATGTCTGTAAAAAAAACAGCTTACAGTCAATTTAGAAAGTTGAAATCTAATGCAAAAAATTATTAGAATTATAACAAAAATTATATTATAAATAAAGATTATCGTATATTATTATTATGATGATCCATGAAAGAGGTTCCTTCCTTACAAGATCAAGAACACAAAAACGGCTCTTTTCTGCCTCCACTTCAAATGGTTAACCCCCTATTTTGGGATGTGCCTCAATTGTACCCAATTGTTGTTACTAATATTGATTTTCGGGTGGGCTGACTTTAAACTTAAACTGCTCCGATTCAACGGCAAAAATTCCCAGTAATGAAACACCTGGTTGAAGACAGGTTATACTGCTATTGTTTTATAAAATTGTTTTCAAAGCTCCCCCCCCTTATCTTTCATTTTAACAAGCCTTGCAATACACTACATATTTTTCAGCATAAATCTTTCAAGAATTTTATAAAGTTACTAAACCAGTAATGTTTCTTGCTAGATATTTCTACTTAAAATACACAAGTTTTTTGGTATAACCAAGAAGAGATTTTTTTTTTTTTTTTTTTCTAAATCTGATGTTTAGTTAAAAAAATTTTGAAAATAGGTTGGACTGTAAATTTTTCAGCACCACTTTGTATACTTCTAGAGGTCCATGATGGATCTTGGAGAATAATTAAAATGAAATATTTTGCATTAAATTCAGTTTTTTATATGTTTCTGATTTTCCTTTTTTTTTTTTTCCTTTTCTTTTTTTTTTTTTTTTTTTTTTAATATATACTTTTAAAAACTTTGATCAAACTTTCCATTTTTGTGTATCTACTCTGCATTCATGGTTATCATGCTTGTCTTTCAAGCCTTCGAGTTTCAGCGTTTACTAGGTAGGTGCTTTGACTAAAAAGTATCTTTTTTTTTCCTATTTTTCTTTAATGTTCCTCCTTTTTTCCCTTCCTTAAATAAATGTTGTAAAAGCATGGTTTCAGAATTGAATGCCGTAGTTTGTCATGAAGCTGTTTTACTGTCTATCATTGGAATTTCATATTTGTTCTATTTAAAAAAAAAATGTTAATATGATTATTATTATTGCCAAACAGTTTTTTTTTTTTTTTCTTTTGTAGTATGGCATGAAAAGTTCTTAGCCCAATCAACTTTTCAAAATCTGCCCAAATGAAAAAACTTGAAAATTTTGATGGGAAGAGCTTCTTAGCTGCCTTGAACTTTTCAGCACCTCTTCCCTTTGTAGATACTCATTTTTTTTTTTTTCCAAGATTGATTTTTAAAATGTCTTGCTTGTGGCAATTTTGAATCAAATAGAAAGTGGCACAACAGTTTTTAATGCTATATATATATATATATATATATATATATATATCCCAGCTGTGAGCCAATGGCTTAGGGGATAGAGTCTCCGCCTGATACCAACTCAGCCGGATTTCAATCCTGGCTTGAGGCAATTGGATGTCTAGCCACACTGATGAGCTGTGAAACAGCAAAACTGTGGATGACAATATATATGTGTCTGTGTGTTTTATCTATGTTTTATATAATTTTATTTATTTTTTTATATATTTATTTTAAACATAATCTTTTTGCACTTCACTGTTATTTTTCTATTGTTTCTTATTCAGCTAATTGAAGCCTGGAATTTGTTCTCCCAGACATTCTGCTGAATGTTCAAGAATTCATCACCAATTTCCACTGGGGGAAAAATTGCTAAAACCTAAAAACAAACCAGAAAGAAAAGGACACACACAAGATTCATGGTTGCAGACAGACTTGGATTCTTCATAAAATGGTAATGAAGAACGCAACAATATGAAAACAATTTTGAAATGTAAAATAGAAATCATAATATATTTTTATTTTCTTTTTATACCCCCACTTTATCTAATTTTCTTTCTCTCATGTTTGCTTGAAAACTTACAGCTGCTGTTTTATAAATGACTGTGATAATTACAATTGAACAATCTCTTCTACTCTTTGCACAACATGTACATTCCACCAATGTTTACTTCTTCTATATTTGGCATTGAGATGATTTTATTTCCTCTCACTTCTAGCCCAACCTTAAAAAAAAAAATTAACATTATTTGATCGATTTTTAAATATTCTCACTTGCCTTTTAAAAAACCCTTTTCATATAATTTTTTGCTAGCATTCTTAAAACTTTTCAATATTGTATAAAGCAAATAGTGAATAGCCACACATAATAAAATCAAAAGTTATTATAAAAAATTGCATGTAAACATTTTTACAGATGTTGCAAAAAGCAACGTTCTGTTTTTACTTAAGCCTTGTTTCAATGGTTTTGTACCGTAAATAAAAATGACTATCATTGCGGCTACAAAAATTTAATTATCAATTTAACTAAATCACTTATGTTCTCCCAAAATGATGGTCTGGCGCTTCTTTTAATATGGACAGAATTAAAAGAAGATACTCTATTCCAAAGTAGTTTGTGTGAACACAAAATATATTCCTCTCAATTTTACAAAGATTTATTTTTTTTTTACTTATAATCCTTGAAATGGCTTGTGAGATATGTGGTGGTATGTTACCGAGTGCATAAATACTAGTTGACATCAACTGAAGAGAAGAGTGTATTGTTGAAAATTGGACTGAGGTTTCTTTGTGCATAAGGTCTGAGATATAAGTGGGATTGGATTATCAGAATGGTTTTAAATTGGTTAATGTGCAAGTTTTGCAATGAACCGAGAGTAAGCTCTATCTTCACTGAGTGCTCTTGAAATGCAACCTTGTGCAAAACTTTGCCTAATCCAACAAATATCTCTCTATTCTACCGTTATATATAACCTTAAACATTATTATTAGTGGATACTCGTATTTGAAATAGATGCCTCATTTTATTTTTACTTTAAACAGTGTGTATTACACTCAAGAAATCTCAAAGAAAACCTGCTCTCCCACATTTTTTTTTTTTTTTTTTTTGAGATTTCTCAAGTCAATGCACAGGTTGACAGATGATAGATACACACTGTTTAAAGTTAAAATAAAAATGGATCGTCTATTTCAAATATGAGTATCTACTAAATAATAACTTTAAAGTAATAAAAATGTTTTATTAAAATAAACCCATTAATTCTTTATATATATATATATATATATATATATATATATATATATAGTTTTATTAAATAAAACTAACATGGCCTGTCTATTCAACTTTTTCCCAATTTATGGCTGAGGTGTTTTTACATGGATATTAAAATTGTTAAACTGTCTGTTTGTTTTTGCTTATTTTTGTTTTTTAATGTGTGTTATATTTGAGTATTTTGACTGTCAGTCATTGTCAAGAATTGTGAGTGATCATTATGTTTAGTAAAATGTATTTGACTAAATTCTGACATTCTTAGATTGTTAGAATTAGAATTTAAGTTGGTTAAAGTTTACATCATCTGCAACTTGGGCCAGTTTATTAACAATTTTAATCCTGATGTAAAACACCTCAGTTAGAAACTATAAAGACAACATAAAAAGTTGAATAAACAGATATTATCATTGTTATTTAATCAAATTTTTGGATGAATTCTTGCTGCCTATATATATATATATATATATATATATATATATAAATTAAATTAAGTATTGAAATTTTAGAAAGTAATTTTAAAAACACAAATGAGGATTAAAAATTAGTTAAATTTCTGGAACAGAATTGAGTGTCACTGAGTCAAAGGTATTATTGAATTAGAATTTAATTGATTTTAATTGACCAGGAAAAATTGTTAATCTGACAAGTGCCAGTAAATTGTTTTTATATTTTATTTATAACATGGAAAAATATTGGATTGTTAGCTAGATTATTAAAAAAAAAAAAAAAAAATGCCCATACGTAATTAAAAGTACAAGGCAAATATCTTGTTTGATTTTAGTATAAATTTTTAATCAACTTTCTGCAAACTCTTGAGTTGAGTGTTATTGATAGCTTGGGATATATGATAGGAGTATATTTCAGTTTCGCTCTTTTAAATAGGTCTTATTCAATATTAAAAATAATCTTAGTTTTTAAAGTTAAAAGATTCCTTTTTAAGATAATATCCAATCATCATATACTAGAAATTGGGTCAAAAGTTTGAAGTTCTCTTGTCCCCAAATGTTACTAAGGTGCATAGTATCCCAAATTTATGATGTGTAATATACTTAAATAAGTTATATAATAGATTTTGTTGAATATTAAAAAAAAAAATTTTAAAATGAAGTGCGCATGCATCTATGTACATATATAATAGGTATTTTTAGGATATTACCCAACATGCACATGAAAACTGAAATCCACTTGAATTAAATAAGGTTGCCATGAAAATATTGGATTATTATTATTATTATTATTATTTTTTTTTTTTTTTGCATATATTTCTGAATGGAACTATTTTTGGTAGTAATTATTACAACATCTCTTCTCAGTAAATAAATCAAGGTTTTGTAAATTACTATAGATCAGTAAAGAGTTTGAATCTATAATAATGCTTAGTAGTTTTATTTTGATTATACACTTTATTTGTTATATCTTAGTAATTTGTTTGGACAAGTATTTTAAAACTATGAGATTGGCATTCTTTCTTTCTTCTAAAATTTCACTTAGATTTATTAGAGATAATTTAAAAAAAAAAAAAAAGTTTTAATTTTATTGAAATTTTAAATTAAAACTTTTTCAAAAATACAGACAACCAGCACTCAAACTTTAAAAAATATCTTATATTAATATATTCTTATGAGAAAATGGTTTAAACAATATCAACTTCTAGATAAAGCAAGAAACAATGTAGACTTGATAATAAATCAGCAATAAGATTTGATTCCTTTTCCATGCTTGGCTGAATAGAATTATATTGGTAATAGCAGCAATATTCTAATTAGTAAATCTACATGTCCTTGTTACTGACAATTTATTGACAGAGGAAATCTTTTCGAAAATCTTGATCTGCTCAGGAAAAATATGCTACTAAGGGGTTGGGAATGGCAGCACTGAAGAAAGAACTTTATACATTGGCATCTCCAGCCTCTTATTTTGTTAACTGTGGAAGCTTGATAGAAATCCTTATGAAGAATGTGTTATTGATTCACTTTGTCTTTGTATTACAAAGTAATTTTCAAATGATGCCTGAACTTAATTGACAGTTACTGTCTCTTATCTGAAATTACTGTACAGACTTGGACAATAAAACTGTTATTTTCCAGTTTTGTGCCATATTGCCAAAAGTATTTATTATTTCTGATGACATAATTAGGCTTCTTTTCTTTTTTCACTTCATCATTATAGACATTGATTCTGAATTTACTATATTGACCACTGGATTTAAAGTAATACTGTTTCTAATCTCCACACTAGCTTTTCTCTATAGTTGCTATTATGATGCAAGAATAAAAATTGATGTAAAAAATAAGGTAGCACTAAGCACTGCAACCTGAAATAATAACTTTTCCTAAAATTTGTTCTCGTACAGTTATAGATTAAGCACTCCAGACCATGTACATCTTTTTTTTTTCTTTTTTGATTAAAAGAAAAGATTGCTCATAGGGGTTTCCAATTTGCTATGTAAAATCATTGTAAATTGATCCCTCTACATTACCAAAAATAAAATGTGCAAACTGTGATTTTTTAAAATATAAAAAAATATTTATTTTATTTTTTTTATTTTTTTTTTTGGAAAAAAAAAATTGTAATCTAGAGTGTTTAATCAATAGTAATACAAGAAAAAGAAAAAAAACCTCCCAATTACAAATTTAAAGAATTTTTCATTTTTAAAAGATCATGTGGTGTGAACATCTTTTGTTTTGTCTTTGTGAGGAGGGGGGTCAATTTACAATAAATTTACATACATAGCAAACTGCACCCCCTATTAATTTTTATAATATTTAATAAAAAAAAAATTGGAATATTTGTTGTATCAAGTATAACCTATAGTAATGAGGAACAATTATGAAAAACAAAAATCATTATTTATGGTCAGTGCCTATTGTATAACTCTACCAAAAATAGATTTAGTTTAAAAGCATTTTAATGACCAATAATCAAATAGTTCCTTAAATATGGACATTGGCTTTGTTTGGTATGCTGGCAGTGTACTAGTTGCTCAACATATTTTGTGTATAAATCAACTAGGGACTGTTTTAGTAGCATTCTTGTCAGTATAGTTATTTCATATTTTCATGATTTCTCACATTAAAAGAAATGAGTGATTTTAATAAAGCATCAAATATTAAACTGTCACCCTTTTAATGAAGAGGGTGTATTAACAAAATGATAATATAAAGCTTGAATCTTCATTATGTAACATTTTATTCACTACAATATTTTGTCAGTTATTCTCAGCCAGTCTGTGGCATGTGAGCAATACATGAACCTTACATTCTGCCTGTAGTATATAAAAGACTGCCAGAGAATGCTTGTGGCTGTTGTTTATATAAATGTCTGTCCCACATTCTCATGCTTGCAATACCAGATGCCAGTGCAAGGTCACATACTTCTGCATTCGGTAACTGAGACTGGATTGACCCCAGGCTAATCCTGTGGTGCACCCAGCTTTCATGTGTACTCTGAACTTGAGCCCAGGCCTATTCTAGCACAATACCACACCTAAATTATTTGGATCCAGTAAGCTACATTTTAAGAAA